GTGATAGTTTGGTTACAACAAATCTGGGGAAAAAAGGAATATTTTAACCATTGGCTTTCAAGTTTATTAAATAATAATAAGAAGAATACAGATAATAGCTACCATTCCTGAATGCTTACTGTTCAGGGCACCTTGCTAGTTTTTACAAATATTATCCACCTTTAATCCTCACAACCATCCTATGAAATAAGCACTAGTATTTTCTCCATTTTACAGATGGGGAAACTGGAGGTTTGAGAGATTAAGCTGTTTGCTCCATCACAGAGCTAATTAATGAGACTTTGAACCCTGGGCAGACCAAGACCCTGCGCTCTTAGTCACTGTAGAGCTCTTTTACCTGCCCATAATCCTGCTGACTGGGCCAATTGTAGAGCTTGGCTAATGTCAGAATCCTGTTCGTGACACCAATTGTAGTGCTAGGGCTGGGTCTGGTGCTCACAGACCCCTCAAGCCCATTCACAGACTGGGTCACAAACCGTTCTCATGCCGGGCTGGTCACCAGACCCCTCACACACAGGTCTGTGAGCTAGGTAACCAGTAAACAGGTCCTTGGAAGCCATAGGTTTGAGAGCATGGCTGCGTGGGGCGGATGCCTGAGGCAGACGCCAGCTAAGGTTGCAGCGCTGCACGTGAGCACTAACTCCACCGACACACACACAATTTGCTTACAAAGAATGCACCACACCACCCACAACCTGACCTAAGGCAAGGGGGCCTGATTAAATTATTCTATTTTCCCAACAGTCATCATGCAATATGGCTTCCTGGTATCAAGGAACTGGATTTATTTATTATTTATTGTTCACTTTTACTACGAAAGTAATACATTAATTAATTCTAGAAAGATTGTGATGTAAAATAGCAGAAGATGAAAATACAAAATACTTGCAGTTCCCTTCGTTAAAAACAATCCCTATTACCACCTTTGTTTATGTATCTTTTTCTCTTGGGGACGCATTGAGATATATATATATATATATATATAATATATTTATATGGAGAGAGAGGGAGAGAGAGATCTATATCTATATATAGAGAGATATATATTTTCTATAAGAGTGATATTTGATAAATCTTTTAAAACAAGTTGCTGTACATTTAACTTTTTCCACTTATATTTTTGGACATTTAGGCAGTTGCAACTTTTTGATATTACAAACAGCTTATAGTAGAAATAATTAGCTAAACATGATGTTCAAATAAAATGAGACTCAAAACCATGAAAAATTCAAAACGATGAACAGTAATGCAAGAAATGAATAACAATTGTAAAATCACTCATTCTACATTGTATCCAAATTACAATACTGTGAAAACCAATGTCTGAGTAATATTTGCTTTTGAGCTGACTACGATATTGAACAGCTTTGTTTTCAACAAAATCACCTGGTCATCAGGGAAATGCAAATTAAAACTACAATGAGATACCACCTCACCCCAGTTAGACTGGCTATAATAAAAAAGACGGTGAATAATAAATGCTGGTGAGGGTGTGGAGAGAAGGGAACGTCCCTGCACTGTTGGTGGGACTGTAAATTAGTACAACCACAATGGAAAACAGTATGGAGTTTTCTCAAACAACTACAGATAGATTTTCCATATGATCCAGCAATCCCACTTCTGGATATATACCCAGAGGAATGGAAAACATCATTCCCATGTTCAGCACAGCTCCGTTTACAGTAGCCAAGACATGGAACCAACCTAGATGTCCATCAGTGGATGATTGGATAAGGAAACTGGTATATATACACCATGGAATACTACTCTGCCATAAAAAAGAATGAAATTCTCCCATTTGCAACAACATGGATGAGCTTGGAGAAACTTATGTTGAGTGAAATAAGCAAAGCACAGAGGGATAAATACTGCATGTACTCACTCATATGTGGGAGCTAAGAAAGAAAGAAGGAAGGAAAGAAAGACCACAGTAGTGCATTGGTCTTGCAGAGGGAGAGAACATTCCTTGGGCTACAGTGTGGAGTGTGGCGGAAAGGGGGAGGGGGAGGGAAGTCGGGGATAATTGGATGGGAGACATGGGGTACAAATGCAATTTTTGGTAATGGACATGCTGCCAGTATGGATCTGACCTTCACATCTTGGTCACGAGGGGTGACAATCAGCTTTGTATCTCATGAATGTTCGTAACCAAAAAAAAAAAAAATCACCTGGAGCTGGTGGCAGCAACCATAAGAAGGATCCCAGCCCCCAGGTAGAGTCATAGGAAGGCACTGATCCCTAATATGTAAATGCAAAGAATGATTCTGTCATGGAGGGACTAAATTCAGGGGAATAAGCTATGAACCCAGTGACTGGAAATGATACATGTAATAGGGAGAAGTAAATCTTAGAATCAGAATATTAAAACAGTTATCAAATCAGGAGCACAAGGTTATAGCCAGGCTGATAACAACAGGGAGTTTTTAGTCCCAGAGCGTTGGATCAACACTCTTTAAATCCTTTCTGCCAAAGGATAGGAGACTGGGCCTGGGATGAGCCTACAGGTGGGAAAAATGGCTCCAGAGAGCTCCGAAATTAGGAATGTGGCAGGTTGTGAGAATCAGAAATTTGAAAGGAGAATAACATAACGAAGTGTTGTAGGAATTGCAGGATGATTAAAAGTCAGTGCACTGTAGGTAAGGAAGCTATTTGAAAAGATACTTCTTAATACTATTGTGGTAGCAAATGACAATGCTCTTGGTCTGGATAGAGGTAGGAATTATATGTAAAACAATATCTAGACATCCCCATTAAATAAACAGATTGAAGTAATACCTGTAATTCTTCATATCACATTTTCGACAAACAGTGGTTGGAACCCATAATGATGCCATTACTTTCATTAAAGTTTTAGCTGGTATATTAAAATTTCTTTTATTAGCTTTTAAATAAATATGCCTGTCCTGTGATTACAGTTTAAGTTAGTATTATCATGTTTTAAAATTAAAAACCATTATCTTTTCTTGGTGCTATGAAAGCCATGACAAAATTAATGACTAATGTGCTACAAAGATGTTTCAATTAACTTTCTCGGATATTGATCAGACAAGCATTAAGGTTTATGATTATATTCTGAGGTCTTTTTTCATTAGGTGAGGACTTAGTTGCTTTGAGTAACCCTCTCAGCCAGTGGTTTCCAGACCCTGGGAAGTACTGCTTCTGAGTTAAAGTAACCTTTCTTTTGCTGAATGTCCGTATGTTTTTGTTTGCACCAAGAGTAGTAATTTCTTGAACCGAGAGTAACAATTTTGTTGCACAAGGAAGTTAATTCATTGTTCTTAAACAGAATTTACTTTTTGGGCTGGCATGTTAGCTCAGTTGGTTAGAGCATAGAGTTGTAACACCAAGTTCAAGGGTTCAGATCCCCGTACTGGCCAGCTGCCAAAAAACAAAAAGAACTTTTTATGTTTCTGGAGGTATGAAAGTTGAAAACCTGCAAGAGTGTTTTAAAATAGTATACTTAAAAGTCCTTTAATTAACTGTAGCTAATGGTTAGATTTGCTTCAGTGCTTTGAACTTTTGAATCAAGCTTCTCTTCCACAGTATTGGATGAATATGATTGTCATTTCTGTCTCTTTCACGAAATTTTCTAATGTACATTGATTTTTTTTAATTACAAAGTAATATATGTTTGTTGTTAAAAATAGCCCCAAACTAAAACAATATTGAATGTAGAAGATCCCGTCCTTAAAATGATAACTGTATAAATAATTTGGTGCATTTCTTCCCAGTTTTTCATGGGAGTTCTGCTTGTGTATATATACATATACACATACATTATACACTCATTACACACTCCTCTTGCTCCCCTCTGCCTTTCCCTGTCCTCTCTTATCTCTTCCCTTTGTTCTCTTTGTCTTCCTCCTCCTTGCCCTTAACATAAGTGCTGTGATATTGCTGTGATAAAGGAAGGGAGGTTTTGTTCTGTGTTCTGTGCTTTCTTCAATTACAGTCCTGGGTGGAGCTTATTTTCTTTGTCCTTTCCTTCCCGCCCATCATGAAGGTTCAGTAAATTCAAGGCTATGCTTTACTTCTCTTTATCCTCAGCCAAACTACCAACCCTCCTCAGCTATGTGAAAGAGAGCAATTCTGGGTGCTTTCTCCTGGGGACAGCCTGCTAAGCAGCCCCAGATCTGGCCTCCCTGGCGATTGGCCTGAGGCCCAGAGGAGCTTTTTGTACCATTTGATTCCAAGTATGAAGTTTCTCTGGGGTTTTCTTGGAAAGAAGGTTCTTCTTTGCAGCATTCCTCCTCTGTGTCTGTTATTGGTTAAGGTTTCATCTGCATTAGTTATCTATCATTTCATCCATGTCTGATTTCTGTCTTCTAGAGTTTTCTCAATTTTGGTATGTTGTTGGTAGAGCTTATTTTCTTTTATTCTTTCTTCTGTCATTTCACTGGTATTTTAGGGAGACCAAAGAGGTGAGGTACACACGATGGCTCGGTCAACACCTTGAACCTCACAGGTGTCTGTAATCTTTTTTCAATTTCTGGTCCAGCTTTTTTGGAAATTCAGATAAAGAATTTTGTTTGCAGTTCCTCTGGTTTGTGTTGGAACTTGACAGGTTTTCTTTTTTTTCTTTCCAGTACTGCATTTAATCTTGATCATAATAAAATCATTGATATCTCATTGCTCTCTGACTGGTGTATAAATGACATCACTGCTTGACAAATTGCATTTATAGTCCTCAACAAGGTGTTACTTGCATAAGACTGATTAATGATGTAAAATTCACTTTAAAAATTTTACCTAATTATTTTTATTTCACTTTATATGGATAAATGTCACTATCTTTTTATAATATGTATTTGTACTTTATTTGCCAGGTAACTGAATATTGTCACTTTTCCTTTTTCAGAGTGTAGATCAATTGGAGACATAAAGAAATGTAATAGTAACTTTATATGGATGCATGGTACTCAATTAATATATCTCAAAATAATTTCTTAATTACTATCAGAGACAAATGGTTCAGGATTTTTAAAAACATTTTGTTTCAGGAAGGAGAAAACATTTTCTATTTGGCAGTTGAAGATATAGAAACAGATACAGAGCTTCTCATCGGCTACCTGGACAGTGACATGGAGGCTGATGAGGAAGAACAGCAAATTATGACAGTGATCAAAGAAGGGGAAGTTGAAAATTCTAAAGGACAATCAACAGCTGGCAAAAAAGGTATTACATCTTTAATTGGTGATCTGAGAGAATAAAAGTTGTAGAAGAAATATGGTTTGGACTGTGGTTAATTATAGTTGCATTGTAGTATGGTATTCTCAAAATAAAGTTAGTTTTTGTAAAAACTACTGTCAGAGAGTATCCAGCTATGTGCTTATCTTTCTTGCTGTAGGAAAGGAATGTTGGGGGTGGCTGATGGGTGTACCCTGTAGGACTGCCAAAGTCAGGCAGTGCTAGTGTTGGGGCAGCTCCTGGCTCTCTCAGCTCTCACTGGTGCATTGGGTGAGGAGTAGTGAGGATCTTTATGCTCTTGTACTGGCTCTGCCAGTAATCAGTCTTGTAACTCTGGGCAAGTCACTAACTCTCCGAGACTTTTTTTTCTCACCTGCACATGGGAAAAGGTGAATAAAGAGGTGAGGTGTGCAGGAGGGCCCTGCTGGATTCTGGGGATCAATACATGGGCCTCACTTTTGTTGGAAATCATTTGGGAATCTGGAGCTTCTGGGAATTTCTTTCTGTTCTGATCACAGAGGCCTTCAGGATTGCTAAGTTGTCCTAGTTTGGTGACCAAAAATTTGCAATGACCATAGGTCAGACCTGCTTAAATCAGTTCTACAGTCCAGAAGATAGATGTCACTTACTTGTCAATCTCCAAGAAATAATCATATTGGGCCTTGATTCTATTATGGTGTGTTTTATGCTTGAGGCAAGTTTAAGGGAAATAGGAATGGTATTATCTGTATTCTCATTTTTTTAATAGGCTGTGTCTTCATCCATTCAGGCTGTTATAACAAAATACCTTAGACTGAGTAATTTACAAACAACAGAAAGTTATTGCTCATAGTTCTGGAGCCTAAGAAATCCAGGATCAATCCAGCAGAGTTGGTGTATGGTGAGGGTCCATTCCTCATAGATGGCGCCTTCTAGCTGTATCCACACATGACAGAAGGGGCAAACAAACTCCCTTGGGCCTCTTTTATAAGGGCACTAATCCCATTCATGAGGGCAGAGCCCATCACCTGCTGAAGTCCCTACCTCCTAATACTCTTGCTTTGGAAATTAGGTATCAACATATGAATTTTAAGAGGACAGAAACATTCACACCATAGCAGGCTGATACTTAATTGCATAGTATTTTTACATTTTGCATAGCACAGACACTTCGGAAGTGACACTGGTTTCATTAGTCATGGTGGTAGTGATGCTTTTCATATGAATTTTCTTTTCTAACAGTATGCCATTGGCCAAGAAAGTATGAGCATTCTCTTATCATCACCAGCTTATGCTTCTGTTTCTTTATTTTAGTCGTATTATTTAAGGGGAAGGTGAGGACAGCTCAGTCTGTTCTTTTTTCAGCACACATTATGCTGTTCAGAATGTCAGATTTTGGGTGATGGGAATTATTTCTGTATTTTTCTGTGTTTTCTTTGTATTTGTATTTATTTTTTTCTCCATCATCCCCAGGGCTTGTTCTTACGGTGTTCATTATTTTAATCTAAAAATAAGTCTCCTACTTATCTATTTCTGCCCTGACTTCTGCTTTAGTTATTAAAATACCAGTTTTCATTATCTTTGTAAAAAGAGTCAAGAGAAACTTAAACAGAGTTTTAAAAACATGAGCCAGGTACTTGTATTGTTGCTATTTTTATTTTAGTGTCTATAAAAGCAAAGAAACAAAACAAAAACAAAAACCAGCAAAAGAAACAAACAAGCCACCCAAATGTCTAACAATGGAGAGTTTGGTTAAATTATGGTACCTTAACTGAAAAAAAATTGACTTGAGAAGATGTTAAATGGGGAAAAGAAAGCAACTTATAAAATTGCACATAAAGTATGATCATAAATGTAGCTGTCCCTATGACTGTGCATAAAATCTGTATGCACAAAAGACAAGTGAGGTTTGGAAATATATTACAACAGTTGTCTCTTCATGCTGGGATTATTGGTGATCTTTATTTTATTCATATTTTTTACATTTTCTAAATCTAATTTTATTTGATAATAAGAAAAAATATATGTAGTTTAAATAGCACACTGGGCAGAGCTGCATCAGTCCACATGGGAGAGTGGAGCCTCACTCACTATGCCTGCTGTGATTAGTGCTGTTGTTATGACCCCAGGCTTTTTTCACAAATATGTGAGATTCCCTTTGGTAATCGGGCAGAGCTGCATCAGTCCACATGGGAGAGTGGAGCCTCACTCACTATGCCTGCTGTAATTAGTGCTGTTGTTATGACCCCAGGCTTTTTTCACAAATATGTGAGATTCCCTTTGGTAATTCAACATACTTTGCCTCGGTTGGATTTTTCTTCTTATGAAATGAAAAGGGAGCTAAAAATGACCCATTTCAGGGAAAACTTTTGTTTTGCAATTCAACATTTGTAATAACTTTGATTTGAAAAGTTAACATAATAGGGTAAATATTGAATTTGATTTTGTATTAGTTTGGTAAAAAACAAAGAAAATGGCTTTAAAAATAATGTATTTCTCTCTAGTAACACTTATATTTTTGTGAACAACACTATTAATATTCATAGAAATAATAAGACTTTACTAATATGGTACCATTGAATGCAATTTTTATTTTAAAATGAGGGTAAAATTGAGCACCTCTTGGCTCTGAATTTTTTTTTTTATAAATACATTTCCTTAAAAATGTACAGATCTCCTTGGCTGTAAAGAGGACTATGCCTGTCCCCAATGTGAATCGAGTTTTACCAGTGAGGAGATTCTTGCTGAGCATCTTCAGACACTGCACCAGAAGCCCACAGAGGAGAAAGAATTTAAGTGCAAGAACTGTGGGAAGAAATTCCCAGTTAAGCAGGCTTTGCAAAGACAGTGCGTATATTAAAGAATATCTTTAAAATTATAAGCTAACACTTTGTTTGACTATTCCATTTGGCTTGACTCATAGTTTCTAACCTGTGTATGTATGTGTATGTGTTGTGTATGTGTTGTGTGTGTGTGTGTACATATCTGTGTGTATGTGAATGCATGAGAGATTAAAGTGTTCTACATTGGCTTTGTCATTAACTCTTCTTAGTAAGTATGTTGATTTTTGAAGTATTCTGATTATAAAGTTTAATTAGTGAACATTGTTTATACTAACCAGTTTTTGTCTATTTAATAACCTGCCATTAAATATCAAGCTCATTGGTTTACTAATCTGAAATTCAGATATGCATAATTTAGCTAGTGCTTTGAGGTGACATCAAGTTTCAGTGTTCTGCATTTGATATTCCCTGTGGAATCAGTTAAAGAAAACTTTAAGAAATGGAGAGAGTTCAGAGTATAAAGAATACATGGACATTTGGGAAGCACTGTTTATTTCACAGCAACTTTGGGGGAATAATTTAAAGATGAATAGGTACACAATAAGATAATATAATGAATTAAATAATCCCACACATTGCTCTGTACCCTTTATTATTTTAATGATTTATATTAACATATAAAGTTATCCTTTTATTGAAATATTTTATAGGATTGTGAATTATTAAAAGTGAGAAACTAGGTGCATATATTTGTAAACTTTTTTTAATGGAATGTCACCTTACATATGCACAAAGAGTCTTTAACATGGGCTTAATGTTACAATTTTGTTTTATTAAAGTAAAATTCTAAAATATGCTACATTGCATATTATATTCATATATTATATGCATTAGCTTTTGCTTATAAAATTTGGGATAAAAAATTTCTGCATAAACCGTAAACTTAATAAATGTTTAATACGTTAAAAGTTTTATTAAAGCAGGAGATTAAAGAGTTAGACATTCTATTATAGGTTTTTCAAAAACCAAGTAAGGCCTATATACTTTTTAATAAATAGGCTTTAAAACTGCGTTCTAGTCAGCTTTTATTGCACTTAGTATTGTATATTCTACACAAAAAAATACCCTTGCTGAACTGGGGCTCATAGTTTTAAAAAGTACTACTAAAAATTTAAAGAGGCAAAAAGAGTGATATGAATGTGACTTTATTCAGAGTTGGCATATTGTCATTTTTTTTTTGTCTTAGATTTCTTTTTTTTCTCCCTCTCTTTCTTTTTTTTTGTCTATTTCCCTTCAGTGTTCTTCAGTGCACAACGAAAAGCAGTCTGAAGGATTCTTCGCGAAGTTTTCAGTGCTCTGTTTGCAATTCTTCCTTCAGTTCAGCATCGAGGTTTTGTGTCTAGAGTTATCAGATGGCTGTTATATAATTTTGGGTTATTTTTTGCATGTATATTTTCATGCTTTGTAATGATTCAGGATTACGTCACTACAGAATTTAAATGCTTTCCTTTTTACCTGCATAGGTAATGCATGAGATGACCTTGAATGTCTACTAGGGAGCATGTATTACAAAAGCCTGCTGGTAAAGTTTGAATACTGTATGTCTTCACCATTTCTTCTCTCTGTTCTTTGCTGATTGTCTTGCAGTTTTGAGCAGCACCAGGAGACCTGTCAGGGGGATGCTAGGTTCGTGTGCAAGGCTGATAGCTGTGGAAAGAAGCTGAAGAGTAAGGATGCTCTGAAAAGACACCAGGAAAATGTCCACACTGGTGAGGAGTCATTGGAGGGTCATTTTTAAAGGGGCCTCCTCTCCCCAGGCTGTAGTGATCTGTTTTTAATTCTCACTCTCAGGGAGAGAGCTGGCTTTTCCATTGTGTTTCACACAGATGTGGAGCTCTTGCAGTGGATTTTTTTTTTCTTTCACAAAACATTTTTTCTTTTTCGAGGTGATTTCAGCAGCATTTGTCATTTTTCCCATCTCTGAATTAATCATAACTGTACACCTAAGCTAGAATCTAGTTGTACTTGGTAGTTAGGTGCATTAAGAATTAATATTTTTAAATAACAATTTTAATGTTTTAGCATATGAAATTTCTCTTTCATAAATTGTTTAAATTGATGGTTGTACACATATTCTGAAACTAGTGATGTCCTTCTGCTTTAATATTTTTACAGTAAAATTCAATTTTTTAATGCTTACATTTCTCCTATATTGGAGAAAATTCTTAACTACATTTTGATATGGAATTAAATTGGATGAATAGAGCAAATACTATTTGAATTTCTTCTAATGGCTAGCTAAACAATAAAACAAATATGAATTTAGTCACTTAGATTTTATCTGCTTAGCCCATGGTAGGCAGTCAGTAAATGTATTTTGGTTTAGAGATTGAATCTATTGCATTGAGTTGAACAGATGGCCATATTGTTAAAGTTAACTTTTTACTTCCTCAGTGCTCCTCCTTAAAAGAGGTTGAGGTGCATGGAACTCTGCATATCCTTCCCTGCATATCTTTTTCTCATGTGTTTACTTTTGCTCTTGGCTTCTGGCAAGTGGGTGAAAATGTGTCTCTGGATAGGAGGAGAGTGGATTTCTCTTTTTCCTTCTTGTTTATTCTCACACTTAGGGGGAAAGGATAATCTGTACCCAGCATTGGTATCCTGTGTTTGTTCATTGTCCAAAAAGTATCTACTTTTAAAATAATAAAGTTATAGAGGCTAGTATGAGCATGAGTGCTGGCTCCAACTTTGCATTGTTGGTTTGGGCTGCGCATTAAGTTCTAGCTATGCAGGAAAGCTATGAGTGGTGGAAGGAAGGGCCTTGTGAAATACACCTCAGGCTGGTGCCCATCACCAGGACTTTATGATGTTCTGGTCTCTTTCTTTTCTTTTGAAGAAATGTATGGCTGACTTAGGGAAGATGGCATTTTTCAGAATTCAGTATGTTGGGGCCTTTGCTATGATTGCAAAAGGCAAGCATAGCTTATTGATAGACTTGTTTTTTGGTTTTTTTAAAAATCCTATTCTGGTTAAAATGCTGTTCTTAATTTTCTCCGTCTATGTCTGCAATGTATTGTAACAAAACTTTTATGTCAATTTTGAAGTTAACTTTGCTGAACTGAGTAAAAAACCAGATGTGCACTGAAACTCTGGAAACTTGCATTCTGGTTACTGGGCATGTGGTCTTCAGGTTGTGCTATATGCAGAATTTCTTTGAGACTTCTTGTAATTGACCTTGGATATTATAATATCACTGATTCTAGAAATTCATGGTGTTTTTATAGGGAATAATTCATAAAAGGAAATTTTGTTTATTATTTTTTTCTATGTTGTGGATCATATAAAATGTGATATCTTTCTATATTTTAGCCAAAGATATGCAGTAAAAGATACGCATAGTAAATATGGGGCTGGCACATGATCTCATTCTCTCATTTATAGTCTCTCTCTTGCTTCTTTCCTTTCTTCCATGAGCTACACAGACATTTGGGGAAAGAATAATTCCTGTTGTGAATACCAAGCAAAGCAGTGCTCACATATATGGTCGTACAATCCTGTATTGCAGAAGGCAAAGGTATTCAAAGGAAGACAAGGTCTTGCAGCTTCTACTAATGATGGCAAATGTTCCTTGTTAGGTGAAATGAATTGACGCTGAGAGGAGGGAAGCTGAATTTTTAAATATGGATCACATTTTTCCATAGAAATAGTAACATGTGGTATGTAGGTTCTCAGACCAGCTCCTAGAAACATGCTTAACCTACTGATGGAGTTTGGATGTGTTGTCCCCTCCAAAACTCGTGGAAATTTGATCTCCAATGTGGCAGTGTTGGAAACTGATTGAGTCATAGGGGCAGATCCCTCATGAATGGATTAATGCCTCCCTGGGAGAGGAGAGGTAGTGAGTGAGTTCTCTCTGGATTAGTTCCCGTGAGGCCTGATTGTTTAAAAGACCCTGGCACCTCCTCTCTCTCTCTCTCTCTCTCTTGCTTCCTCTCGCCATGTGATCTGCTTGTACTTGCCAGCTCCCTGCCACTTTCCACCATGAGTAGAAGCAGCCTGAGGCCCGTGTCAGATGCAGCTGTCCCAGAATCGTAAGCCAAATAAACCTCTCTTCTTTATAAATTACCCAGTCTCAGGTATTCTGTTATAGCAACACCAAACAGACTAAAACACGTACAGTGTGTTGAAACTTGGGTATTTATGTGATTACATTTTCAGTACAGTTGTATTAATTTTTTTACCATTGCCTCCAACTACAAGTAATGTGTTCCTGAATATTTTGGAAAATTGAATGTGGAAGTCAACACCAGATTTAACTGAGTGCAAGAAAACTAAAACAGTATAAAATCTAGTTATGGCTTTGTAGGTACTGTTGTCCTTGAACCTAGGGAAGCTGGGAGGGTAGTGAGAACCTTCACAGTTACCTACAAGGAAATAGTGAAGGGGCTGGGTTCCTCAGCCCACTTCTCATCTTTCTCTTTTGCTTAGATTTTGTGGGTGTTAACAAAGGATCTTTGTATATATGGGAGATAACGTTTATCTACATTCTCGGATGAACAGTAATAAACTTTTCCTGTATTTCTTCTTAAGGAAGCAGGATTTCTCTTCTAGGTTGAAGAAGAGAAGACGTTGAAGAGGAGAGAGAAGTTTGAAGGGTGGGGATGGGGATTTAGTGTGTTACTGTTGATACCTGCAGCAGGGGCAGTGGCAGAAGTACAGGGGTAAATGGAGAGGGGTGCTTGGGGAAATGTTCTTTTTTTCCTCTCTTCTGATCTACCTAATGGGAAAAGACAGGACCTACTGTCAAGGGGCAGCTGCTATGAGGGGTGGGACAGGACAATAAAAGGTTGTGGGTGGAAAATGGGCAATCCCAACTAGTGGGAGCTGGAAAAGAGGGGATTTTCTTTCTCAGTGGCCCCTCATGCATAATAGATATGTATAGGGAATCGATGACCAAATATATGCTGTCAAATATCCATTTTTCTTGGGAGAATTTTTTCCTTTAGTAGCCTTATTACTTGTCAATCACCAAGAAAAATTTTCTTGGCTATAATATTTAGCATGTTAAAACAGCGCATTAAACAGAATAGGTATCTTGAATACTGAGATAAAAATTCATACTTTCTTTTTCCTAAAAGTGTTTCTCCTTCATAAACACAGTCCTATAATAAAATCACATCACTTTGTAATATGGCTTTTACTTGTTTTGTATTTACTTCAAAATAATAGAGAAGTGGGGAGTATATGGGGTTGGGGCAGGAATGGCCATGGATTAGTCATTGTTGTGGCCCAGTGATGGATACATGGTGGTTCGTTATACCATATGTTTACTTTTTGTATACAGATGCTCCTCGACTTACAATGGGGTTACATTCCTATAAACCCATCGTAAGTTGAAAATATTGTAAGTTAAATATGCATTTAATACACCTAACCTACTCTACATCATAGCTTAGCCTACCCTACCTTAAACGTGGTCAGAACACTGACATTAGCCTGCTTTTGGGCAAAACCATCTAACACAAAGCCTATTTTATAATCAAGTATTGAATATCTTATGTAATTTATTGAATACTATACTGAAAGTGAAAAACAGAATGCTTGTAATGGGTTCTTGAAACACGGTTTCTACTGAATGAGTATTGCTTTTACACCATCAAAAAGTCGAAAAATCATCAAGTTGAACCATCATAGGCTGGGGACCATCTATATTTGAAATCAATCAATGAAAAGTTGAAGAAAAACATTTTGTGGTTATTTGTGATGGATACTGTTATTACATTTTAAAAAATGTTTTCTTGAGTCTCTTCATTTCTGTAACCGCCGAGAATATGAAATGGACTATAAACATAATCACTATGTAAGGAAGACAAAATTGGGCTTTGTTTTGATTTGCATAACAATAATATGAATTGCCAATATAATGTTTTATTGTACTTGATTTTACTTTATTCTGTTTCTTATCATTAATTTGATAAAGTGTGTGCTCATAGATTTTTGCTAGAGTCGAGTGCTGCAAAAAATCTATGAATGCCATCTTTAAAAACCCAGCTGATTTAATAAAATATTCTGTTGAAATGTAAAGGAAGTAGCAAAATTAATTTATGAATTAATAGATCCAATTTTTTCTGTTATAAACACATTTGGTTAATTTTACTGTTGATTTGAGTTTTTCATGGAAATGTGCTTTTTTCTCTTTTAATACTATGTTAGTACATGGAAATGTGAAAGATCTATTTTATCTGTATAGAAAATGGCATACAAAGCTAAAGATTTCTCAAATAAAAAAAGGGTTTAAGATATATCTTACTCTTTATATGAGTTTTATGGATGTATATACAACATGGAACGATATAGAATTCTAAATTATGAAGATGAGATTATGTATCACCTAGAGATACTGTCTGTTGCTCCTCCTAATAGTTTCATTTAAATCATAATGGTATTTTGTTTCTATTTTAGGAGATCCTAAGAAAAAGCTCATATGTTCAGTGTGCAATAAAAAGTGTTCTTCAGCATCAAGCCTACAAGAACATAGAAAGGTCAGTTAGACAAAGATTAACTTTTATCACAATATGAGATTTTTTAGTCATTTATAATGTCTGCCATGTAAATTTTTAGTTGATTTTTAAAATATTGATAAGACAGGTCTTTGTCATTAATTTAAGTACTGACATTCTAGAAAGCAAGACTAACATGCAGAAAAGTAAATTGCAAAAGATTATTTTGTTTTATCGTTATGTAGAGTTAGTAGAAATATTTCTTCAATGCCAAGTTTCATGTCTAGCTGAGTCCTTCACTTGTAACAATCCACTTTTGTTTCAAGCTTTATCAGTAGCTGTTTGTTCAGGAAATACAAATCAGTGAGGACACCATACATTTTTAGTATTTATAGTGTGCTGGGCAGGGGCATTTGGGTACTGAAATGAATGCATATTACAGTTTAATCTGTCACAACAAAGACAAATGCTGCATCATTTTGGAAAGCTGTAAGTAATATAATAATAATATGAATTGCAAGCATAATATTTTATTGAACTTCATTTTTCTTTTCTATTTCTTAATATTAATGTGTTAAAGGATGTACCCGTAGATTTGTATGTCCAAGTCCTTTTAGCAGAAACAAGAGATTACACAGTATTAGGAGAAAATTAATTTAACATAGTTTGTAATAAGTATAAATGTTACTGTTATTTTGATTTGAAAAGTTAATCTGAAAAACAAGTGGCAATTATTCTAACAATATTAGCAACTAATTAATAGAATTTATGGTAAAATTGAATTAAAACTGGGTTTAGATTTTTGTTTGCATCGTTACAGGGGTTCAAAATGTTCATATTATATTTAATTATTATAACAAAGGTGTAAATGATCATTTTCTAACTTCACTTTTTTTTTCTTTTAGTATCTAGGAGTGTGAAATTTTTTTTAGTGATTTAATACTCAAGGAGAGGGGAGATAGGGAAAGTAAAATTTTACTTTTGCTGTGGTTTGTAAAGTGGATTTTATGTCTTTGTTTTTATATACATACGATTTTTAATCCAGTATCTTCAACCATGTGCTCTGAATTTAACTTATAACGTATGAGATAGTTAAATTATTGTGTTGACATTTCTGAGGTTATATCCTGTATGTTGAGTGATTTTGATCCTTGGGGAGAAATAACGGAACAAGCACTGTACTGGGAGTCAGGACAGTGGATTTCTTCTTCTGTCATTAACTCTCCATGTAACATTGGGCCTCTGATTTCTCATTTATGAAATGGGACATTGAGCTGATCAGTGTTTTTCTCTTTGTTTGTTCTCTGAGTGTCATGAAACTACTTTTTCTTTCCCCTAGTTTCCAAGTGGTGATTTTATCATATTGTTTAAAAATATGGAATGCTTCATGAATTTGTTTTTCATCCTTGTGCAGGAGCTGTGCTAATTTTCTGTGTATCATTTCAATTTTAGTGTATGTGCTGCCAAAGCAAGTACTGAAACTACTTTTAAAAGAAGTTTTTCACAGAATGCCAATCCAGATGCCCCTTCTTTTAGGTCTTTCTTTCTCCCTCCCCATCAGCCTTATGGTTTCTGAAGCAGAACCATCATCTGAGACAAAAAGATTAAATCAACGGGAATAAATATTTTCTAAACACCCTCTTACTTTTATAATTCTATGATTTATTTCCCTGATCTATTTAAGTCTTAGAGTTTGAAATTTAAGATATTTTCCCAAATAGAGTGTTTCAGCGAAATTGGCTGTGGAACATATTTCTGAGTAATGTCCTCTTTTCCATTTAGTTTCTTTTTAATATGACACCTTTTTTTACCTGAAAGGGATACTTGGGTAGAAGGAAATCCTACTGGTGGTGGTAGAATACAGATGCTCAGGCCTCCGGAGTCATCTTTGCAGAATGTTAATAACTTACTAGCTTAATGTGGATGTTTCTCCATTACAGCATAGCCCCTCAAACTTAGCCTTTCTGGATCCATAGGCAGCTCTTATTGACTCCAATTTTAACTACTCTTATAATTGGGTATGTCTAATGTCTAATAGAGTTTGATTGCAGTATTTCACCTTGCCAGTAGATGGTGCTTTATGACAATGGTCCTTAGGGAGAAATAGTGGAATAAGCACTTTACTGGGAGTCAGGACATTGGGTTTCTTCTATCTTATATAGATAGAATAGTATAGTATAGCATAGTAAAATATTACCCTCTTAATCAATTTGGTAAACAGGAAATTTTAGAAAATATGCTTTACTTAGTAGTAGGCATAATTAAATAGTATTACCTGTTATTTTCACTCTATATCTGATTGTTCCATGAAGCCTTTTTTAGGAGTTTTGAAAATAGTTTTAGCCTGAATTTTCCATTATAAATAAGATAGTAAATGCAAAAGTGCTTTCATGTATAGTAAATGCTCTTTTTTATGATTTTGGGAATATCAATTCAACTTAACCTTGGAAAATGTTTCATGTTTCAGAAGCCATGAGAGTTCGAAGTGAATAAATTTGATAATATTCTGCAGTATTTTATTTAACAGTTACCATTTTATATATGGATTAATAATTTAAAAATTTTATATACCAACAAAAATTTAACATTAAAAATGAAAATAAATGAAATACAATTTCATTTATGTATGGTTCAGAAGGCATATCGTCTTTTTGGTGTCTTGTATAGAGCATCATTATAAAATTATGTATTACATAATTATGTATTACATAATTTATGTATTGCAGAAACATAGAGTTTAAGAATATAAATCTGCTCTTACTATCTTTTAAACATCATATTATTGCTCCTCAAACATAGGTGTTCAACTGAAGCCACCGTGAAGGTCTTTGATGACAGAAGAGGCTGTCTTTAACATGTCTCAGGCTAGAAATTTTTCTTTTATGCTATGTGGTACTGGCATTCTAAGGACTTGTGTAGGCAGTTGTACAGATCCCACACTGCTTTCTGAGGAACAATGGGACTCTCTGGACTCCAGATATCTCCTGATCAAGATTAGATACCAGTGCATCTAAGCAGAGGGTTTAAGTCAGACTCTAGTGGAATGACATCTTTCAGCTTCTGTCATGTTTCTCTGCCTTTTCCCTGCTTTCCACAACTGAGTTTATTGACTCACAAGGAGTGAGACCTGACAGAAGCAGAGGTGGGTTGGCAGCCTTACACCTGCCATATACTTGGACATACAATTAAGGCCAGGGCTGCAGACCTGGGATTGTTAGCCTTGCACCAGCTTCTGTTTCCCTCCCTTTTCCCCTCTGTTCATTTCCCTTCCTTTTCCCCTCTGTTCATTTCCCTTCCTTGAGTCCTTCCAGGGCTACTTAGGTTAAGGGAACCATTTATCTGGGGACAACCTTGTCTTCCACTCATTACTCACGTGTCATACCATTTTAGGGTCTTCTGCCTTGATCTTGATCATGACACTCTGTCATGTCTCTGGTTATTCTGCAGGGACAACTACCACCTTAGGTTCTTGCAGAAGGTCCTTTGCTTGTCTGGGGTTTAGTATTGTGAGTTATACCTTTAATGAGGCTGAAATAAAAACATGACTTCACCAAAATCATTTTTGAATACTCAGTGAAATAGTGTGATGCTCTTGTTCATAGGGATGGTCAACATTTCTGATATAAGGCTTCATGTAATACATTCCTTTTAGAATTGAGCACATTATTTCTAATTAACTGGGCTCCTATTTTTCGTACTGCCTATTCAATTTCTCTGATTTAGTTTCTGGGAAGGAAAGACTAATTCAGTATTTACTTATAATGTTTGTATTAGCTAGTTGTTTGCTAAAGTTATATCTCCTCTTATTATGTTTTTTTTTTTTTAAGTAAATTTTATTGTGTGTATTTAGGGTATACAACATGATGTTATGAGATACATGTATATATATATATATAGTAAAATGGTCATTATGGTGAAACAAATGAACATGTCCATCATCTCACAGTTACCCATCCCCTCCCCAGCCCCAAGGCAAGAATAACCATAATCTATTCACTTAGCAAAAATCCTAAAGACAATACACTGTTATTAAATAGAGTCCTCATCCTACATATCTGCTACTGTGTATCCTTTGACCTACATCTCCCCAGATTTTTACTGTGGTCTTTTTATCATGTGAGACTTTTACTGTGAACTAAATGCTTTCCAGAATCATACATCTTCTGGATTTTCACTGTAATTAATGTTTTGCTCTGTACTACATACACTGAAGTTTAAAATACTGTGGGTTACTATAAAGGGAATATTATTACCTGCAGGTTATATGTTTCCAAGTCTATATTTGTACACAACAATAAAATAATTAATATATACTAGGTATAATTTTTTACAGATTATAAATTTAATATGCACCAAATAGGTCAGCTATATTATACATTTAAGTACTGTGAATCTTATGTTTTCTTTTAATAATATGTGTTTACTAGGTAACTTATGTTCATTAAATTTTCAGTTTATATAGGATAGTATGAACAAATTAGGGCTGAATTATAATGGATAGTTTGGATATTTTAGTAGCACCTGTCCACATGTTTACATTTCTGCTTGGGCTGTGTGTAATTTATTAGGTTTTAACAGTTGATTTAATTGTCCACTTAACCTTTTGCAGATTCATGAGATATTTGATTGTCAAGAATGTATGAAGAAATTTATTTCAGCTAATCAGCTAAAACGTCATATGATCACTCACTCAGGTAAACAACACTTTTTCATTTATATTGAATTCACTACAAAAGAATTACTTTTTCATTTTTCAGGAGCTCTAAGAGTGGTAATAAGGAGCCCTGGCTATAACTTCTAGTTTGGCTATCAACTAGTCATGTGATTTTGAACAAGTTACCTAATTCTGTAGACCTCAATTTGTTTATAAAGCAAAGGTGATTGGACTAAAATGTTATTGAACATCTTCAAGGTCACTATTTAATTTGTCACTCCTCCTTGAGTCTCAATTTTTTTATTCTTCATCTGTAAAGTGGGATATTAATGCCTACCTTTTAAAATAACTATGAAAGTTAAATGAGATTATTTGTGTACCATGCTAGTACAGTGCCTGACATTTAGTAGGGATTCAGCAATTATAGTTCCTGTTTCTAATTATTTTTACATTCTAACTAAGGTCTTAATAAATGTGAGAAATTTATTAGTACGTTTGAGAACATAAATTTTTAAAGCCATAGTTTCATTTTAAGCAAGTTTGAGTGATAGGACTGTTATATAGATTTTTTTTTTTTAAATGAGCTTTTGAAAATAAGTTTTGCTCTACGGAGTCTCTTTCTAGAGTTTAGGTCTGTAATTTGACACCATTGAAGTCAGAATGTTTTTAAATATCTGCTTTGTTTGGCAATAGATATAGGTATTTTAGTGAATTAAAATCAGAGATCAAAAACTTACCTTTCAGATATGCTTTGTTTGATACATGCAGTATTTTTTTTTAATTTAGTTGTCAATGTTATATGAATATTGCATAAATGAGAATTTTACATACCAATCTACTGTATAGTTCCTGCTGAGAACTGGAAGCTATACCTGCATAGAGTCTGTGTGGCCCAGCAAGAGACAGCTCTGTCCTTTACTTCCATCGATGTCAAGCTACTCTTAGCATTTGGGGTTGTGACCCTGATTTAGACTTACACATATTAGCACATATTTTGACCCGGAAATAGGATTTCTTCCTTGAATTTAAACTACTTCTTCTTGCTGCGAAATTGTTGAAGGGCCACAAAAAATGATTACGTTGTATAATGTTGAACATACTGATTATCCTGATTTGAGCATCTCATAATGCACACAGGTATCAATATTTAGTGCTGTACCCCACAGATATATACCATAAATTATGTTTCAATTAAAAAAAACTTCTTTATATCCGAACATACTGATTATCCTGATTTGAGCATCTCATAATGCACACAGGTATCAATATTTAATGCTGTACCCCACAGATATATACCATAAATTATGTTTCAATTAAAAAAAACTTCTTTATATCTAAGCTAGTTTATACATTAAGTTTACAAAATAGGTCTGTAAAAAAACTCATCATTTGTGAATTGACTCACATATCTAAGCTAGATGGAAGATGGACTGGGTGGTAGATTTTGTTTAGTTGTTTGACCATGTTTTAGTTTACTTAGTCATAAGTAATATAAGGTAAGGATGGTTCCCTTTTTATCCTTTACTTTTATATAGATATGAGATTGTCTCCACTCATTTTTCACAGAAAAACGACCGTATAATTGCGAAATTTGTAATAAATCTTTCAAGAGGCTCGATCAAGTGGGTGCCCACAAAGTAATACACAGTGAAGATAAACCTTACAAATGCAAGCTGTGTGGAAAGGGATTTGCCCACAGAAATGTTTACAGGAATCACAAAAAGGTAAAAACTTATTCATATATGTATATATTTTTCTTACTAATTTACCGATATGATTTCCAATTGTTTATCTTTTAAAGAAGTTTTTTTATATCTGGGACATGCCATACGTTTCAGAACAGTTGGAGAAGATCTTGCTTCTACTCTGTAAAGAATCACAAAAAGGTAAAAACTTATTCATATATGTATATATTTTTCTTACTAATTTACCGATATGATTTCCAATTGTTTATCTTTTAAAGAAGTTTTTGTATATCTGGGACATGCCATACGTTTCAGAACAGTTGGAGAAGATCTTGCTTCTACTCTGTAACCACTCCCTCAGGCCATAACCCCTTGTGGCCTCCTTTCTCTTTCACTCTCTATTGAAATTGTTCTTTTAAATAAAATGTCATCCTTTGTTTCCAAACTCTCAGCTATTAAATCAATTTTGTGGGCCCTGGGGTTATACTAATTGCAAAGTCTTTATTCTCTTCTGTCTTTGTATAAGTTTGACTTTTGCTCATTTATCTCTTTGAAATTCTCTTCATCTTTGATGTCCTTGTAGTATACTTTGCTAGATCTTCTGCCAATTTCTCTGCGTATTTTTTTTGGTTTTCCTTCCCCCCACTTCACCCTCACCCCCACCCCAGGAGGTTATCCTGGATGCTTTGCCTGTGGACTTCTTCTATGTTTACTCTTCCTAAGAAATGTCAGCTACATCCATGACTTCTGCAGTCAACTCCATACTGATGAATGCCAAATGATTTATTTTCTTTAATCCCAAGCTTCAAACCCACATTTTAAACTGCATACTTGTTATATAACTGGGCATCTTTTTAACATAATGAATTCAGTGTGCCCCAGATAACTTCTCTTGGACTTTTTTCTTTCTGCTAATGACAAAAGTGTATAATTATTTCAGTCTCTTTCTTCAGTCTTGGCCTCTTTATAAAATTAGAAACCAGGTCATAATGACTCTCCCCTCTCTGTTATCTCATCGCCTTCACAATCGTCCCTTCCTTTACGATTCCGATGTCTGGTTACTTCTCCTCTGGATCACTCTATACCCAATTAATTAGGCTTCTTGGTACTAATCACTTCTCACTGTAATCCATCCTGCCAGGTAAATAGTCCCAAAGCTTAACCCTGGTATATCATTCTTGTACTGTGATGTTATAAGTAGATTTCCAATGGCTTTATAAACTATGGTATACGTACCTTCTCCTGTCATTAAGACACCATGACCTCAACCTACGTCTCCAGCTTTATATCCTTTTATTCTCTGCCTTAACCATACCTAAAACAGCTCGACATTTGCCTTCATTCTGCATGACCTCTCTAATTTCCTCTTTCTCCTTTCTACTAGGATTCTCTTGAAGTTATAATCTCAGTTTCTTCTGCTAATTTTCATTTACATTTCTTACACTTTATCTTTGCTCAAGTTCTTTCTTCTGAATGTGTTAGTTTTATCTTTTCTAATTTGTGTAGATAGTAAATAATGTTTGAGTTAAATTCAGAAAATTTGTTCAAAGATAGTCAACATCTCAGAAATGCATGTAAAAACATTTGTGATGTGACAGACATTTGCTTATTGATTTCGTTTGGTTGATATATTTTAGAATGCTATTAAATAATATATATATAATCTCTTAAAATAACTTGTTACTTATTTTTTTACTTGTGATATTCCGTGGGGATTATATTTATTTCAGTGTTTATGGGGACCTTCCAAACACATCACTTTATCTCTTTTGAAATCATTTAAAAAATTATGATATAAATTTCAGCCTTCCATGCGAATGGAAAAAAATAAAAAGGCAGATTTACCAAAGAATAAACAGCGTTGATTGAAAGTGTCCCAAATTGTTTCTGCTGAATTTCTTGCTTACCACCCTTATGTTTAACTCAAGCATTATATGTTCAGGCGCAGGAATGCATGCATTACTGCTGCTTTGGAATTACGTGATTGTAAAAAATTATCAGGCTAGTTTCCTGTTCAGTTTCTGGAACCCACTTGCTCCTGTCTTTGATGAAATTGATCTATACACATTTATGAGTCTTTTACAGTTTGGCTTCTGTTATATGCCATATGGGAATTTGGCACAGGATCTTTGTACCATCTCTCATACTTCTAGCCATAAATCATATGAAAGTAATAATGATGTCTTGGGAAGGATAGAAACAAGGATGCCCATAATTTCCAAAGTGGAAAGCACATTCAGTCCTTCTGCTCCAGACCAACATGTTTCTCACCGTGTTATGATCCTAGCATATGTCTGGTAATGTTAAGTGAAAATAATGCGAACTGTTCTCCAAGAATGATGTAGAAAAAGCAAATCAATCTTTTCTTCCATTGTTATTCATCAATGGCTAGTTAGGACACTGAAAATAAGGATATGCCAAGGAAATAGGGGAAAAAAAAACATTAAGGGTCTTTCTGATCTTCATTGTGTGGCATGCCAAAGGGTGGTTATTTTAAATAAATCAATTATTCTCTTAGTTTTTTGAGTTTGTAACTTACGCATTTTTATTATATTTAGATGATTTATTTGGGATCAATTCTTTTCTTTTAACATTTAGATTTGCTTGAAAAAAGGAATATTATCTTTCATTGTGATTATGACAGTATAATGTGAAATTTCTAAGGGTTGATTTCTATTTTTAAAACTTTCTTAGTCATTTTATCATCTTGCTAGTTATGTAAGCCCAAAAGGTCAAATTAGTTTTTCTTCTCCATCTTTTCTGATCATCATTTGATTTGATTCGTAGCTGTATTTTAGGATCTAGCTAAAATAAGGGATCATTTATCTGAATCTAACTATACTTAGATTTTTAAAATTGCAATTGGACAGACATTTTAGAACCACAGGAGATGGAAACTGGTCAGTCTTCACTCTTCATTTTGTTTCCTATCAAATTTAATGCAAAGCAAAATTTATAGGAGGTATACAGTGCTTCCCTCCTCCTGCTATTAGGATGGATGTTTAGATGGACCAAGTTGTCTTGGATTCTGGAGCTGGCAGGTTCCATCATACTTGCCTGATGATGGAAGTGAGTACAGAAGAGTTTTGCAATGATGAAGTCATAAACATGCTCTTTCGGGACAGGTGTGTGTCTGTTCAAGTAAAGGACCTTCTTTTCTGACCGTTTACATAGCCTTCCAGGGACAAAACTTTAGAAGCCTATGAGAAAATCTAGTCACAACTTCTCCTGAAATAATTCCTCTCAGCCTCTCTTAGTAATGTCTCATCCAGTCATTTTCAAACTCTGGGCCATGACCACTTTGTGGGTTTTGAAATCAATTTACTGGATCATGAATAGCCATTAAAACAATAGGACAGAAAATATAAGAGTAAAGGCAATTTAGTGAAATAATACGTGTGTGTGTGTGTGTGTGTGTGTGTGTGTGTGTGTGTGTGTGTGTGTGTTAAATTTCAATGTAAGAAATATTTCTTTGGTCATGGTCAAAAGATTTGGAAGACAATGTAATTCAGACTTTACCTAGGTGAAATTCTGTTAGACCTTAAATAAAAGGACAGGTCTGTCCCTAAAAAGATCATGGATTAGGTTTTAAAACCAGAATATACGGCATAAATTTCACATAGTTAAAAAAATACCCTTGAAAATCTCTTAAGACAAGTGCCAAGTTGGAGACCAAGAAACAGTCACTCAATAATTATATCACAGCCACTTTTTCCTTGACCTTTGCATCAGGTTGCTGTTCTTCAGGTGTGCTTTAGGTGAAGTAGTATGCATTCATTTAAAGTGTTATAATCTACAAAACTACCTATCTTTGTATTCTAGAAGCACATTCACAAGGATGGGATGCTCATATTATGAGGGGCATGCAGGATTTGAACATGGCAGAGGGAACAACAGATACCAGTCATTATCCAAAGCTCATTTAGCTAATAGCAAATTGCTTACCCTATTTAAATTGTTATTTTTCATAAATGTATGATGAGATAGAAAGCACAATTTATTTAAAAAAAGTTTTTTAGATTTCTTTTTCTTTATTGAGGCATAATTGGCAAATTAAAATGGTATATATTTATGGTGTATATTATGAGATTTTAACATATGTATACATTTTGAAATGATTTCCACAATCAAGCTAATTAACATATCCATCACCTCACATAGTTAATAATTTTTCTTTTTATAGTAAGAACATGTGAAATCTACTCTCAATTTTAAGTGTTCTCACCACAAAGAATGATAACTATGTGAGGTGATAGTTATGTTAATTAGCTTGACATAGTCATTCCACAGTGTATACATATGTCAGAGTATCCTCTTGGTCATCATATATATACACTTTTTATTTGTCAATTAAAATAAATAAATAAGATAAAAAAGATGTTTTTTCTTAGTTTTCAGGTATACATTATTGACTATAGTCACCATGCTGTGCTATGCTTGTACATCTCCAGAAATTATTTCTCCTGTCTAACTGAAACTTTGTATCCTTTGGGTGACAGCTCCCTATTTTCCCCTCCCCCCATCCCTTCACCCCAACTTCCAGCCTCTAGCAACCACTCTACTGTTTCCGTGAGTTTGACTGTTTTAGATTCCACATGTAAGTGAGATCATGTAGTATTTGTCTTTGTGTGCCTGGCTAATTTCACTTAGCATAATGTCCTCCGGTTTATCCATGTTGTCTCAAATGACAGGATTTCTTTCTTTTTTAAGGCTGAGTAGTATTCCTTTGTTTATATATACAACATCTCTTTATCCATTTATTCAACTGATGTGCTCTCAGGTTGATTTCATACCTCAGCTATTGTGAATAATGCTGCAGTGAACATGGGAGTGCAAATATCCCTTCGACATACTGATTTCATTTCCTTTGGATATATACCCATAAAAGGGACTGCTGATCATCTGGTAGTTCTATTTTTAATTTGGGGGAGAACTTCCATACTGTTTTCTATAATGGCTCTACTAATTTACATTCCCACCAATAGTGTACAAGGGTTCCAATTTCTAACATACGCACTTTATTTCTCATACTAGACTAT